TATTACACGTGCTATTTACGTGTTGTCTGTTTTGAAGATTTTATGCTCGCAATTACTACTTTTCCCGCAATCTCTTGATTCCTATTTATTCACGGGATTTTTAGATGTGGAGAAATGACTACCGGCGTTACTCCATATCATGAAGTCGGGGGTTTATACTGTGTAGCTGTTAAGTACGTTTCCAAGAACCAAATGCACCAAGTTTTCCAATATGATGGAGTGTATTTGATGAAAATCTTGTGCGATAGTGACCCTGAATGAGAGGCAATGCGATTTGCTCATTTATGACAAGATTGCCTTGATTTGAAGAAGATGTATGTAAACAGCAACGGTTTCGAATTCCGTAAATCATTTTGTACAAAAAAGCAACCCTTCTTCCATCAATATATTCTGTCCTCTATACAACACGTGTTGCACCCAGTTACACCGTTCAAGCTAAAGAGCGGCCGTGTAATATAAACTTAAACAACCACATCTTCGCATCGACAAACACGACAAAACGAATTGGAAGTAAAGTATGACGGCGCATGTGGCGTAGCGGTTAGACGTGTCACACCGGATCCTCTAATAAACCCCACCGGGGGTTTCTCCTCCCTCCCTTAAAAGGGGCGGCAAGGTTTTGCCAATTTCCATTGAGATTCTTTTTATCTTTTTCGTATATATTTTGTTTAATCCATTTTCATTTCTTGGGGCTGTACCAGGTAGGTGATAAAGTATCTGCGCAGTGGATAGGCGAAGAAGATAGAAGCGGGGTTGTCATTTGTTACTTATCGAGGAAATGGTTGCGACCAGAATGAGAGGCCTCTTTAATTTAATGAAATGTCAGTATTGTTCAATGCGAACTAAATTTGGAAGATTTTAAATATTGACAGTAGGGGTAGAGCCTATGGCGTCGGTGTATATATGATGTATACCCTTCGTACTGTCCAGTCATATATGTTCGAAGATTCTGATAGTATTAGATCCGAAATCCTACAGATAGAGAATCACATTTATCTTAACTTCTTGACAAAGGGGTTTAATCTGGAATACCGCATTCTGATTGATGAGTAAGACTTATCATACTGTTCGTTGGAGATAACGACCTTGGTTGTATAGCTTTCCTTTGAAGTTTGCCGTTTCGTGGGGCTCATCATCGACAGTGATCGGGGGCGTATCCATGTTTCTGCTTATATATCCGCCAGACTTATATCACCGTGTAAATTTAAATTCTCAACAATAACTTATATTATCTCTACTTTTAGCCCCTTCCTTCAAAACATGTATTTTCCCAGCTTGAAACGTTGTGGCGAGGAGTCTCGATGACTATGCTTTACAAAGTGGTCAATCAGCCAGCCAGCAGTACCCAGAGATTAGCGCGGTTGTTATCGATGGAACATTTAATTTAGAGTTTAGAGTATTAAAGATGTATGATGTCATAGACTAGCCAAAGATGACTAATTACGTTGACTACGTGACTGAGGTTATAAGATATTTCAGTATAATCGCCACATGACTCAAATCTGTATTCGAAAGATGTTAAAGCTTCCGGCCTTAAAAAAAATCACTTCACGCCTGAGTCATACACACGTTTTACGTCACGATTCACAAAGCAGATTGCATGAGGACTAAAGTACTTGAAAGATTTTATATTGGTACGAGCGCCATTCGGCCAGTAGCAGGAGAGGGAAACCCCGGTGGGGAAACCTCAACGACTCGTATGATTGCATATGTACATAACTCTCTACCCCAAATCCCCCCCCCACCTTCCCTCCCAAATCCCCCCAGCTTCCCTCCCAAATTCCCCCAGCTTCCCTCCCAAACCCCCCCCCCCCTTCCCTTCCAAATCCCCACCAAAAAACAAGAGGCGCTAGTTTAGTTGATTGTCGGTGTGGAGGCTCTAACGGCGCCGGGGTCGTCGTACGGTGCGGGGGTTGGGGCGGGTTTCCGATTCCTCGGCATGGGTCATGGGTGGCCGAGGAGCTGGAACTGGCGCTGGCGCTGGCGCTGGAGCTGGAGCCGAAGCCGGAGCTGCAGCTAGAGTTGGAGCTCGGGGTCGAATGGCGCGAAGCCCTTCGAACAGTGCCTGTTCCTCCTGAGCACGAGTCATCGGGGCGGGTTGAGGAGCTCGAGGTAAGTTTCCAGTGATGTAGTCGTGGAATCTTACAGCATTGTAAGGATCGAGCTCAAAAGCGACGACTTCTCCGTTGACCGTTACTTTGATGAGCTCAATGCCTCCTGAAGGAGTCGGGATCACTCTTGCAGTGCCCACGGCCTCTTCGAAGTCGGCAATGTGGAAGGGAACATCTCCGTAGGTGGCGCGGATGAGGAGGCGGTTGGCGCGGATGATAGGAAAATCGAAGTGGACGGTAAAGTTATTCATCTGCATTTATGTATTAAATACTAATAGATGAATACGATGTACGGATTAAATTGGAACGACAAGACAATATGAATAATTAAGTTACAACTAAACAATAAAATGAAAGTAAAGTACAATTACAAGTCAAACAATTACATGATACGGATACTTGAGTAAGTGTTGAACAACGTAGCCATATCAATAATCCACATGACCTTGAGCAACAACATGACAATCAATGTCCGAGTCAATGTTAAACAATGATGTAGTGTCAATGTACAAGGTAAAGTTGAACAAGGGTCTATGATCGGCGCTTGAAATGGCGTAGGACAAGGATAGAGCATGATGATACAAGATACAGTGGAGTCAATAGTGGACAACGATGGTACATCAATTGACAAATTGGACATAGAGAAGGAACAACGAGGCAAGAAGGCACAAGAAGGCAAAAGGCACAAGGAGACAAGAAGGCACAGGAAGCAAGTACAAGTACAAGTAAGTTCAAAGAGGCAAAGGGGAATGCATACCTTGAATGCTTGGAAGTAGTTGTTAAGTGGTGTAATACTGTAGTTGAGGTGTGGTTGTAAGGTGTGGTTGTAAGGTTGTGGTTGTAAGGTGTGGTTGTAAGGTGTGGTTGTAAGGTGTGGTTGTAAGGTGTGGTTGTAAGGTGTGGTTGAAAGATGTGGTTGAAAGGTGTGGTTGTAAGGTGAAGTTGTAAGGTGAAGTTGTAAAGTTTTCGAGAATGTTGATTGAAGTGAGACTGTGTTTGGAGAAAAAGAACAAGGGAAAAGATTCCCTTTTATACCCTTGAGGCCAGCAGCGTGGCGATCTGGGATTTCACTAGTGACCAGTTCAAATGGAAAACTAACCGATCATATTGCTAGGAAGTTCACTAGAGGTATCTCATAGTAACTGCATTCGTAATAGTTGTGGCTAATCTTCGTCCCCGGACTGGAAATTCAATAGTTCACACCCCATTTACTCAGTCACATTATCAATATTACCGAAATTCACGGATCTAACAGGGAGAGTCAGGTGTATCTGTCATGAATGCATTTTCACAGTCATACTTAGTCAAAAGAAAAAGAGCTTTACGGAGCTTTTTCCCTCAACTTTTTTCTTTAGCTCTCATTCTATGGAAGAAAGATCAAGAGTAACAACCGTATTATCCACCAATCTTTACAGGAATACTTTCAGTTAGATAATTAGATTCTGCACACATTTACCCCGTATTAGTATTAGCGGCTCGATATTTTGCCCCTCAAATCATTGAATGCCCCTCAAAACTGACGCAAATGCGTCTTTAATATCGAAAAATATGAATAAAATTTGACATCATAAATAATATGGGGTTCTAAACCCCACAATTCGAACGTTCTGATTATAATTAGTCTGGAGATTAGTCTGGGGAATAGTTTGGGAATTAGGGCAAAACACGTGATTTAATTCTTAACCTTAGCTAGCGGCGGTTGTACACAGATTGATACGACACATCTCAACTTCCGAAAAACATAACTAATCCAATCTTCAATTGATTTTTTCAATATGCGTAGTCTCATTGTTTGATTTATAATGAAAGATTCCACCGAATATAATAATATGTAAAAAAGTATTTCAAGATTGTTATCATAATTGCAATTCAATTTGTTCACGAGTCCGTGTACATAGTACAGGATTAGTTCTGGGGTAATTTTCGCGCTTAGGGCTCTAGCGAGGGTCAGCTTTTTGACCAGTAACAGCGAGATAGGTTTAGACGACGAAGATTCGTTTACTACGAAAAACCGCGAAAAAGAACATCGAGAGAAAAACCTGAGAATCACGAGTCGAAGAATTGGGGAACTATCGAAAGTTGGGCTTTCGATAGTGTAGGAGATATTATGTAGTATGGAATTGGAGAATTGGCCAGGTGTTCCCAGATACCGGGAAATTCAGTATAACTAGAAGTTTCTAATACTCGGGGATAATTTTCAGATACCTTCTAGAACTTACTAGAAGTACCAGTGAAGAATGGGCGACTTGACACAGAATAATAGAGACACGTTTTCCATTAAAAGTTGGAGGATCTCATCCCAAGGAATGTTCTTGGATCGGCCGCTAGGAACGGAAGGTGAATTCCGACAGTGAAATTCAATGGTGTTCAATTACTTACTTCGCCTAATATCTTCTTATAGAATAGGTCATTCCTACAAAGTAGTAGTTTACAGATGGTACTTGTTTTCAACAGCTACTCAAGGTGCCAATACATCGTTCTGAGAACTGGATTCAGGAGTCCCTAGAAGCCAAAAAAAACAGTGATTATAAGCTGACGCTGGCCATATAATCATCTAACAATTTGTGTTTAGGCACAAATTAAAAATCATTTGAGCAACCAGTAATTTCTCCAATTGCCAATCGAGTTTCAACGAGTGTCAACAAGTCCCAGCCAGAACTTCCACTTCACTTCAACTTGCCTAATTCTCTAGATAGCTAAGCCGGCTCAAATAAATTCATCCCAAGCATCTAATAGAAGGTTTAACATCCAATTCTCTTTCTTTTTTGCCTTGCCACATGAAGATCAGGCAAAAAGACTCAAAAAAGAAGACAATGATTGCCCAAAGACTCCTCCAAAATATCAAAAGTATGAAAAGTATATAAAATAATGTGAAATGTGCAAAAGGTATTCCGAATCCAGGAGTCGAACCTGGGGCTACTCGAATTGAGATATCTTGGTCCGGTTCATTGAATATCCAATGAATCAATTTGCCAGGCTTCGATCCTCATGAAATCAAGTTATGTTAACCACTACACTAATTCGGAGATGTTGGCTTGGGGTATAGAGGTTAACTCATTATATATAGAATAGTAATAGAAACATTGTGAGAGTGGAGACTGTTTGAAGTGACTGAAAGATTGGCAGCATTTCACATCATCTAATTGTCCACATGAAGATCGTGACTTCTTTTACTTCACTGTCTAATTATTCTACATTCTCATTCTCTAAATCTTTAGCCTCATTCGTTTCTCTCCCATCCTCGGCACAACCCCCAAATCTTCTACTATTTCCGCGTGACAAGACCTCAATCCACTCCAGAAAGAAAGAACAATCAAGCTATCAAAACCCGCAGTTATCTCAGAAAAAGTTCCATGATGTGCTTTTACCGTATACATGTTAATCAATATATACATATCACTCATCACTCGCACAGTATCAAAATACAGCAAGTTCAAGGAGATCATTAAGATTCATGGTTGTGTGATCTGTATATTAAAACAATATTTATCAAAGAACTCTTTATCAGGCAGGTTCGTAATTGCGAAAGAGTAAAGAACTTGCGGCTTCCAAACATTATTCTTCCACTCCTGTCCACTCATGCATTCCGCACACCCCATTTTATCCAGCACCTAAGGTAAACTTCCAAACTAAATATCAAAAAGACAAATTCAGCGTAATATTAAAACGCCAGTTTCTACCTTTGAAGAGGTGCGAGAATTTCTCTTACCATGGATTGATTTGAGAAAGAGATAGATTCGTTAGACAAATTCGCTAGATGAAACAGAAACCCCCCCTCCCCAAAAAGGAAAAGGAAAAGGAAAGCACAAGTACAACCAGCTATCCATCCCTCCAATTCCCAAAAAACTACAGAGTCCAATCCCAAAGAACACTCATCCATCTATTTTCCTTTCTCCATTACTCCCTGGAGCACTTTTTTCTCCGTTATATCTCTACCAATCTCTCTATCTACCAGTAACCCAGTAACCCCATAACTTCCACCACTTCAAAACATTAAAGTACCAGACTTGGTGACTTCAGTAACTGGACAAAGAATAGCAGGAAATTATATGAATGAGATAGAAAAGCCTGTGATGTAGATTCCATCGATATTTAAATTTCACAGCCCTTCCTTTAATCTTCCTCCTTGCTAAGTGAACTCCTGCATCACGATTCTACGGGACATAAACACAGCACATTGCCGTCCGCATCAAAATTATGAAAAATGGAAAGCTTTCGACCTCAAAAACGTCATCGATGAATGAGTCATATTTCCGCACAAATGCTCTTCCAATCCCGTCTAAATCATATCAACTTCAAAAAGCAGCCCTATGTTGATAATTAATTCAACAAAGTAGCACCCAGAACACTAGAGAACCGGATAAAAAGACTTGAAATATATACTCTACTGTATTGAACCGCTTAACATGGATAGATATTGAATACAATTATGATATTAGCTGAGAGAACTATCATCCGAACTTCCAACTACCCAACATTACCCACCCAGACCAAATACCTACTAGGTATGTATTTTCCACTTTCCTTCTGCTGGGGTAAAATTATATACAATCAAATCTCATTAATGAGTATCATATTACATCGAATATTGTCCGATGTTATTGGTGATATATGTGATCCTTGGTTGTTCTGTGGATACAGAATTTGATCTGATTTAGATTCTGAAGGTAAGATTACAACGACTGAGCTGAATATGAGATGAACTTTCGCCGTTTGCTAGTGTATATATTTCAAATGGAGTGAGAGGCGAGGAAGGTGATTTGAAGAACACGGAGAACTTCTAGTTGGCAGGAATAATATGAGTGATAGAGGTGGAGTGTAGGTGGAGGGAAATTATATTGAAGTGGCATGAGATGTTAACCCAATTGTGATGGTGATAAGACGAGGAAACTTTGAAAATATGTATATATCGCTTGTACTATAATACCAATCTCATTCCAGCGACAACATCTGATTCATTGCCAATATTATATGCACTAAATTAACAACCACATGCCGTATACTCCCGAATTCCTAGACACCGTCGATATCTTCCCGCGAAACGCATATATTATAACGAATCGGCCAACCAAGCCGCAAACATACTCCCCAAACACCCCAACCTAATCACCCAACCCATTGCTTCCGTCCCCACAATTCCGATTTCTCCTAACACCCAAAAGATAAGACTTCCTTGTACCGCGGCAATGATTTGCGGGAGAGCTATTGAAATGTTGTAGATGCCCATTACTGTGCCTGCTTGTAGTGATTCTTGGGTTCTATATCTTTTGTGAGAAGGGGAGGTGGGCTGAGATATTGAGGAAAGGGCAATGGAGGTAGAAGTAGAGGCAGTGGCGTGGGATTTGGATTGGGATTGGGAGATTTGGGTGGAGATGAGAGTTAAAGGAATCCAGGCGGTGATAGCCCAGGAGATACCGAGGAAGATGATGAGGATGGAGGTAGAGACGAAGGTCGGAGTTAGTATGGTGGAGATGGTTAGAAGGGTGGTGAGGAGATGAGAGAGTGTCCAGACGCGGGGAAGGGTCAGGGATTTGATATGGAGGCGGGCCAGGAAAGTCGGTTTCTGGTGTTTAGAGTTGTTGGAGGAAGGGGAGATAAACAGAGGAAGTGTGAGATTCGAGATGAGTGCGACGAGGGCGAAGAGAATCATGATGAATGTTGCATGCCGGATTGAATGAGGTGACGGTGGAAGAGGTGAGGTGGTTGGCAATGTGAGAGTAGGTGTGGCTTTTTTGGATATGGGGGAGTATTCTACTTCAACTGAATGGCGCTAGGTTAGTTATTTGTTAATGTTAGGTATTGCGAAAAACTTACAGAGACCGCCTAGATATCTGATTCGATTAATTAGTATTGTAATCGAAAGTCACGAGATGGGCATATTTGAAACTTACGAGGTAATATAAAACAAAAAAGGAAACCAGCCAATCCAAGCAAAAAACTGAACCATACAGATCTTTCTAATTTCCCTCGGACATGTCTTCATACTCCCAAATATCTGGCGAAATGTCCCCGCCAAACTCTGTTTCTTGAAGCCCGCATTCAAGTCAACAAAACGCTTCTCGTTCGCCGTAAAACAAGTTATCGCAACAGTTGAGCCCAATGCCACGGAAGCAATCAGACAAAGTCCTTTCAATTGCGTATCTCCAAGCCAAGGTAGATACTTCGGTAAAGAGATATAACCAGCGGTGTATCCTAAAATTGATCCAATTCCCGCAGCAGAACTGGCATATGCACAAGCCCGGACTTGCTGTTTCGGCGGAACACAATCAACGATGATTGCCCTAAGTCCTCCTTGCACAGGTTGGATTGCAATATTCAAAGCCCATATCCAAGCAGCAGCCATGAAACCTTTACATATCATTGCACCACGACCGAAGGGGGAACTGCCGAACAGGGTGAAGAGGTATGTGATCAGATCGGTAGTCCAAGGAAGTGCGAGAATGCAAATAATTGTTGCAATGGTGCCGATGATGATAAATGGGCGGCGGCGACCAAGATGATGTTGACAGCGATCGGATAAAATGCCAATGTACGGTTGAACGATTGCACCAGAGAGGGGTCCAGCGAGCCAAACTAAGGAGATGAGGTAGCTGGGAACTGAGAGTGAAACCAAGTATGGCTTGGAGAATTAACTATGCGCATGATAATTGACATGGAAAAGAGCAAAAAACTTTCTTACAGAGCCCTGAGACATAATGGCAGTCCATATCACTTGAAGTCTATCGAATGTAAGCAATGAACGACAAGATCAGTTTCCAAGGCGGGGTATTTTACCCTCCAGTACTGATGGCCAGACATATTAAATATAAAGTCCCAACTTCTGTCACATCTTTTTCTCTCTCCTCTGATTCTCGAAGCAAAGAAGTCTCGCTATCTTCAAGAAATTCTTCATCGATATAATCCAATTCATCCGATTCATCCAATCTATCCGCAACCCGCAATTCGTCATCCTCCACGCCCGCTTCTAACATCTTGTCGCGAACACACTGTACACTTTGCAAGGAAACCAGGAAATAAGCAAATATCGAGAATATAGACAGCCAAAGCCGTGCTATATTTTTTCAACACAAAATCACATCTGAAGATTGAACATAGAAGAGAATAAAATATAACACAAAGAACGAGGAAACTCTGTCGTGCTGACATTCGCCTCATTTGTACATGGGAATGACTGACATGCATGTACTACACTTACAATTCCTGCATACAAAACCCATTTGCGAACTTGTGGTTCGCTGAAGGTGGTTGTGCTCCATGCATGGTGTGGAGATTTCTCGTGGTAAGCTGTTTGCCTGAAGGAGCAATGGGAAGGAGCAATCAATATTTTTTTGGTTACCTTCCTGTCTGGAGATAGTCTGTGCAACTGTTTGCAGTACCGGTAATGTTGTAAGATTACCATTTACAAGCCAAGAACAAGTTGAAGATATAAACTTCTGAATATCAAACATCAACGGCAAGGTTAATTTGTTCGATTTTTGATTGATCTTTATGGAATACCCGCGGATACATATCTATCTATGCATTGACCATAGAGAAAATGACCGAATTTATTGTTTTGTGTTGCTGGAGAAACTTTGGTGGGGGTTGGGATCATGATACCACCCACCTAGGTAATATCGTCGGCACAAACAAAGAACCTTCAGCTCGACGGAAGCAAATGATGACTCAGACAATTAGATTGTTCTCGTTCAGAATTTACACTACCATTCATTCATCCACAAGTGGATTCTTTTCACATCGAAGCATTTTTCCGACAACAACCATCCACCTTATTCAACTCGAATATTGGTTGATTCTCAGCAGTCACGTGCCTCTCCGCACCAAAAGCTGAACCTCGGCTCTTTCAATTTGAACCGAGATATTCCACCTCCGATATTTGATATTGGCCCACCCCACGTTATCACAAGCTTTGAGTAAAACAACCAGGGCGTCTCAAGATATCATTTTTTTTTTATCTAGAAAAAAGCTCGGTGCTACATTTACAAGGCAGCTCAGAGAAATAAGATGTCAGATGCTCGAAATCAAT